ATGCACTGAACTGAGTGATAATATAGAGTCTAGTGATACACTTTAATTTAGTGTAACTGTAACAAAGTCACAACTGCTGCCATACATTGCATGCATGAATGCAGTAAACCAACACGACACACACACGCGTACGCACGCCGCAGCACACACACACACGCACGAGCACGGCACGCACGCACGGGCGCACAACACGCACACACACACCCCACACAGGGTGACACATGGCACACCACACACACCAAGCACGCACGCGCGAGCGCGCGCGCGCACACCTACACGTCGTACGCACTGTCCACACACACAAATGTCACCTGTTTAATTGATGTGGATATATTTTCCCCCCAATTGAAATTCCCCTATCCTTCACATCATATCCGGTCAGCCAGCAGTTTGACATGGCAGGTGTTGTAAACGTCAAACTAATCACATAGCATTCGTAATACATCCGAACAATCATACAATGTAATCTACGTAAAACGCAACATTCTCGTGCTACAAATCGTGAAATACAGCATCACTTTGCTTCAGCATCTGCCTCGGGTTTATTGCGCGAGGATAAGATGTCTAATAAACTAGATCGTAGTTACTATATCTTCGCCCACTACGTGGCGCCGCGTGCTGTTTAATGTAATTACTTCCATAGACTGGGTACTCGCTCCCTCAGCTCGCTCCACCTCAATTACCCATCGAGGTAACTAAGGCCGAGAGGTGAGACGCGGGTACCAGTGCCTATCTACTAACTATCTGGCTGCGGTCCGGCTAATCGCGAAAGGCACCGACGGCGCACAAGGACGAAAGTCACCGAAAGGCACCGCAGCACCTACTAAACACCGAAGGCGCTATGAGAAACAGTGAATTTCACCGGAAGGCCGACAGAAGCAAGTCCGGAGACTCGAAATGTCAAAAAATCCACAGACCAATGATCTAAAAATGACTGAACTCGGCCCGAAATGAGGTATTAACACCAATATTAATTCGCACCCGAGCCAATTGTTTAATTGAAACAGCGCCATCTCTTGAAGTATTTTTAAGTAATCATTGGGATTTTTCAATGCAAAAATGCGTTTTTAATGTATTTACCACGATTTCGTATAAGAAACTATATATTTATTTTACTGATTTCTCCGTATCTTTTCTTGGATTTTTCATCATCTTTCATGCTTTTCGGTAATTTTGTCAGTGCATTTTCAGTGCGTTTGGTAATTTAACCATATATGCTGTCTATAACACTAAAGCGGCAAAAAGGTCAGGGTAAACAATTCGAAAGGCCTCTAAGCAAACACAAAAATACACCGAAAGACACTAAGTAGCAACGCTTCATTAGGTTCTAATCTATGTCCCCCAGGGTACTATGGAGGGTACGCCTGGGTACGGTTCGTATATCCGGTAGTACGCTCTGGTAATTATCCTGATTATGGTTGGGGAGTAGGCGTAGGCGACTCCCTAGACTCGTTAGTGGAGTAGGCGAGGTACGGTTCGGCATATTAGAAGTAGTCACAGGGTATGTTACGATATATCAACCGTACCCAGCTACCCTCACGATAGTACTGGACATAGACCTATATCCTATCAGCCTAAGTACACCGAAGTACATTCCAAAGGCATCAATAAGACACTGAATGCCAAATAAGGCTAAAAAAAGCTCACGAAATGAGTAGAAACTATATATACAGCCGATGCTCTCCCTGCTCCGGAGTTTATCGCGGATGCAAACGCAGTTTAAATATCTAGTTGTGTGTTTCTCTCCCGCAGTGTTACTTCACGTAGTTCGCCTGCCATCATTATGACCGCGAGCTCCCGGTTCGTCTATCCGGCGCCTACTTCTCCCTACGATATCTGCGCAGGTAGCGGCAAAATCTGTATGCGACGAGCTATCGAAGCAGCAGTATGTGGTTTTTGCGCGGCTCTAACCGGCGTGCAACACAGCGGTGTGAGGGAGGATTATGTATATATAATACACGGCTCGGTACATCTTGCATGCTTACGTCATGCACCGTATAAAATTAGCTGAAATCTGGCATTCACGATATATAAGCGTTATAAGACTATAAACGCTTGAAGTCTAGATTGTTAGACACTTACATGCATCTTCAATGATACTCGATTGTCAGCTGACGTACGCGCGTTCATTTCAGGTACTCTGAAAACTGAGTGATACTGCGGCGTTCTATTCGGACGATTGATATCTCACTACTTGATGCAGGACCAGTTTGGCGTACATCTCCAGTCTATGTGATACAGTGCTCAATTTAAGGTTTTTTTGGGTTTCCCGAGGATAACCAAGAGGTATAGCATATAGTATCCCTCGAGAGTTTTTGGTTGTCCGGATGATTTTTTAAACATGTGCTGGCATGCGCTCTGCTCAGTGTGTGGTGGGTGTGTGTGTGTGTGTGTGTGTGTGTGTGTGTGTGTGTGTGCGTGCGTGTGTGTGTGTGTGTGTGTGGTGGGTGTGTGTGTGTGTGTGTGTGTGTGTGTGTGTGTGTGTGTGTGTGGGTGTGGGAGAGAGAGAGAGAGAGAGAGAGAGAGAGAGAGAGGTGTGCGTGTTTGGGTTGTGTGTGTGACAGAGAGAGAGAACCAGAGGGATCAGGCATGCTCAGCGAAAAGCCGTTGGACCAACGTTGGATGGATTATCGTTCCAGATTCCCGATCATCCCGTTCTCTAACTTTTCTTACGTCTACAGTCCCGCTTCACCCCATCCCTTGATCTCAACAACCCAAAGTTTGATGTTGAAACAAATTATAACACGAATTTTACACAATGCTGTCACACTATTTACAATTTCTATGTTCCGGATTCGGGTCGGATTTCGGATCGGATTTCGGATCGGATTTAGCGATACACATTGGATTCGGATTCGGATTCGGATTCAAAAATTGCCATCGGATTCGGATTCGGATGGGATTCAAAATAACCATCGGATTCGGATTCGGATTCGGATTTTCAAAAATGCTGTCGGATCGGATTTTTGGTTCATGTCGGATCCGACGCACAGCACTAGTACGTACCGATATATCGAACCGTACCCAGGTTACCCTCCGATAGTACCCTGGGGGACATAGACCTTATGAGCGTTATACTTAGTGTCTTTCGGTGTATTTTTGGTTTGTTAAGAGGCCTTTCGGAATTGTTTACCCTACCTTTTGCGCCTTTTAGTGTTTAGACAGCATATATGGTAAATTACCAAAACGCACTGAAACGCAGAAAAATTTACCGAAAGGCATTAAAAGATGATGAAAAATCCAAGAAAAGATACGGAGAAATCAGTAAAAATAATATATAGTTTCTATACGTAAATCGTGGTAAATACATTAAAAACGCATTATTTGATTGAAAATCCCAATATTTACTTATAAAATATCCAAGAGATGGCGCTGTTTCATGTAAACATTGGCTCGGGTGCGAATCATAGAGTTATATAAATATACTAATATATATACTAATATATATACTATATACAACTAATATATATACTAGGGGTCTAATATATAACTCTATGGTGCGAATTAAGTATTTGTGTACCTCATTTCGGGCCGAGTTCAGTCATTTTTAGAGCATTTCTGTGGAATTTTTTTGACATTTCAGCTCCGGACTGCTTCTTTCGGTGCCTTCCGGTGGAATTCGATGTTCTCATAGCGCCTTTCGGTGTTTATTGGGTGCCTTACGGTGCCTTTCGGTGACTTTCCGTGCCTTTTGGTGTGCCTTTCGGTGCTTTGCGGTGCCTTTCGGTAATTAGACGGACCCGAAGCAGTGGAAGTTCTAGATAGACTGGTACCCGGTCCCACCTCTCGGCTTAGTTACTCGATGGGTAATTGAGGTGGGAGCGAGCTGAGGGAGCGAGTACCAGTCTATGGAAGTTGATTAATTAACAGCACGCGCGCCACGTAGTGGGAGAATATAGAACTACGACTAGTATAACATTTATCTTCGCGCATAAACCTGAGGCAGATGCTGAAGCAAAGTGATGCTGTATTTCACTATTTGTAGCACGAGAATGTTGGTTTTTACGTAGATTACATTGTTATATTGTTCGCATGATTACTAATGCTATGTGATTAGGTTTGACTGTTTACAACACCTGCCATGTCAACTGTGGCTGACCGGTTGATGTTGAAGGATAGGATCATTGAAAATATATCCACATCAATTAAACAGGTGACATGTGTGTGTGTGTGTGTGTGTGTGTGTGTGTGTGTGTGTGTGTGTGTGTGTGTGTGTGTGTGTGTGTGTGTGCGTGCGTGCGTGCGTGCTCGTGGGTGTGTGTGTGTGCGTGCGTGCGTACGCGTGTATGTGTGTGTTGGCTTACTGCATCATGCATGCAATGTATTGTGCAGAGTTGTGACTTGTGTTACACTAAATAAATGTGTATCACTAGACTCTATACTATAGTTATCACTCAGTTCAGTGCATGTTTATTAGCTCCAAGAAACGGTATTGCTATAGGGTTAGAATACCTGTGTACCTGTGTACCTGGATACCTGTGTATATTGACGTCAGTCACACAGCCTGGTCGGGTTAAATGGTTATATGATCTGTTGCTATTCTAACTTATACTGCTATACTACTGTTCGCATACGAATTCATCGAGTTCAGTATCACGGTGCTAACTAAATCTTAATCCTGAGTCTTTCAATCTGCCTTAAATTAATATCTAGCCATGGTTAATTGTTTCAGATTCAGGAGCTACAGTGCATTGATAAGGAAGAAGGCGACGAGATTGTACTAACAAACGAGAGCTGGCAAGTTCATCGGCTTTGTGAACACTTGGACCATGCCTTTCTTTATGGGTAAAGTACCTAACCGCATCATGTATAAATAGATTTTTTTCAATCCACTGGGTTTTGTCTATTCATCCTGGTTGTGGCAGGGGTAGAAATTAACTTTTGAACAAGGGAGTCCAACCCTGCCCTCAAAAAGAGGGAGTCCACAGCAGAATGTGGGAGTCCGTAGTCTGAAGTTCAAAATTAAAGATTTGCTGAAAAAATACGGTAATTCCGCGAGGCCGTGCTCTGGAACGAACTAGTTAGTAGAATTTTCAGGGAGTCACACGGACTCGATCCTGCATATGTCAAAGCAGGGAGTCCGACATTAGATCAGGGAGTATTTGACTCCGGACTCGCGTTCATTTTGTACCCTATTGTGGTATATTCATTTGGGATGTTCATACTGTATATAGCACCATCCCTTTGTTTGCCTAATTGTATGTTAGATACTTGGTTATATATTTGCTATGCCAGGGCAATATGCCTAGATATGCTAGCTATGCCAGATTTATGAGGTACTGTGGCAAGTGAGGAAGGCAACAACAGCAATTCGCTTTGCTGCAGTGGTAATATTCGAGCCCTATCCACCTGCTTATCCACCCACAGACAGCTTGCCTTCCTGCTTGAGTTACTGTCTCACTATATATATATCAGGAGTAGATAATAGGCCCTATTATCTACTCCTGATATATATACTTGTTTGTGTGCCTACCCATGCATGCCATTACATGGTTCTCTAGTTGCCTTATTGTGCTACCTGTGTGCGTTCTTACTTGTATGTGTGGGTTATGATATGTTCAAGGCTTTTTTAACATTTTACAAATTACGAAAACCATAGCACATATGTGCCAAAGTACGTTTTTTCTTTGAGCCTAGAAAGGTAGCTTTAAACTCAGCGATGTGTGTGAAGCTAAATTTGTGCTGTGCAACCGGCTGTTCTTTTTCTAAATAGTTTATACAGTACTGCAGAGTAAAGTTGTTTTTTTGCTAATGGGCGCACATCCGGAGAATCGCATCGATGCTATCGATCACTGTTAGCCAGAGACCCGTCTACCCGTCTTTTGGACGGCCTATTGTTGGATGAAATGGATGAAATTTGATAGAGACAGCATGAGGGCGGCCCAATTCTATATATTATACTGTCAACAGTGCTTATAAGAATATAAAATCAGATTCCTGTCTTTTTGGCATTTCAGACTAAATTTCCTCCTCTAAATTTCTCTCACTTTAAAGCCCCCCCCCCCCAGGGCGCTTCACGCCCGCAGCATCCTCACTTTCAGATAGTGAGACTCCATGATTTTTTTCCTGGCTAACACCCTGGATCATACTAGATGAGCTTTCGTGGTCAGTGGAGAAATCTGACTTTATAATACCCATAAATTCAGCGCTACAATGCCAGTTTCGTGGAGGCAGAATTCAGGCGAGGATGTCTGCAGGATGTTCGAGCCGTTCAGCTGCTCCGTCTGTTTGAGTGCAGCGTCTTGTGTGTCAGACAGTGCATGTAGAGCAAGAAAGGCACGTGCTTTTCCGAGCCGAGTCATTCCTGAGAGGAAACTGACTGTACACATGCCCGCCGCTGAGTCTTCCGCCCAGTGAGAATGATCGCACGCATGTAGGCCAATGCTGCTCTCAATTTCCAGAGGGTATATAAGTAAGCAAGCGCAATTCCAAAAGTATTAGTCAGGAGAGGCAATGCTAATTCATTCTCGGTGACTCAAGATGTATTAATCTAGGATAGCAGCTATTGGGATGCAGGGGGTCCACGGGAGTGTGGTGTGTGGTTTGAATCTACAGCTGAGATTTTTGAAAATGTACACATGTACACTATAGCCATCGGTACGGAAGTCCTGATGCTGACAGCTCGCATAGAGGCGATATCTAGGCTCTGCCTGGTGGTGTCATGTTCGCCTCCTGTGACATTTTCAGCAGGATTAGCATGTATATTTGTGCAAAGTAAACAAGCACTTGCTTCTGGTTCTATAAAGCTGTCTGGTCAGTTCTGGTGTGTGTATATATCCGTCTGCCACGTGCCCCTTCAGAATTAGCTACTCTCGGTTGAAATGTATATATATATAGATTCTTATGCAGCTACGCGATCTTGTCAGACTTTATCTCAGAGAGGAAATTACATGATCTTTTTAGGTTTAAAGTGGCATCACGAATTTAAATGTATATTGAAAACCCAATGTACATTTATGGGCTCATATAGTAACACTAAACAAGCGGTGGCTAGCAATTTTAGGTTATGTTGGGGCTGAGACTAGATGAGCAGCTGCAGGCTAAATAGTAAAATGCATTAGCACGTATTATGCCGCTTTCACACTGGGGTTTATTTACTTCCGGACCTGAAGCGGGATAAACCTCAGTATGAAAGGTCGAAACACCCTTAGCCGAGCTAAAGTTATCCCGCTCTAGGGGGTGGTCAGGTCCGCTTCAGACCCGAGCTAACGTCAGTATGAAAAGGTATCTCGACTTTAGCTCGCTCTAAATTCTCCCCCCCCCCCCATTACCCCATTCATACTGGGGGTTATCCCGCTTCAGGTCCGGACCTGAAGCGGGATAAACCCCAGTATGAAAGGTCGAAAAACACTTAGCCCCCGCTTCAGAAGCGGGCTAAAGTCGTTCGCAGTATGAAAGCGGCATCAGAGTAAATGTTCCCAAAGAGATTATTTACTCCCTATATTATAGGATGGTAGTAATTGGTACTGGAGTTAATTAGTACTTGGGAAAATAATATTTTCCTTAAAGTTATCCCTCGTGGGGCATTTCCACACGGCATTCCAGTAGTGATGTTTCTACCCCCCTCCCCCCCAGTTGTTTCTTGGTCTTCGCCTCCCCGTCTCATGTCACTGACACTAAAAGCTGATACGCACCCGGCTACATCTGGTGATCATAGGTGGTGTCACTGTTGTATGTTTATGTGGAAGCACAAGCAATGCATGTTCGGGCGTTTAACTGCCGTGTAGACGTACGGCCCGTTTCAACCGGGGATAGATGTAAATTTGTCAGATATTGTCTCTCGGATTGGCTGTCCGCTGCTCTGTGCATCATTAACTCGCGTGACAGTGACGTGGCTTCACGTGTTGGGATATTACCGTGGCTATTCATGTATGCGCTCCCCCCCCCATCGATCCGTTGTAGAGCGAGTGCTTTGCAGCACGATTGAAGCCGGCTGTATGCAATCGTCACAGTGAAAAAAATACACGGGGGCTCGGGGCGATTTAGCCCCCGAAATGTCAAAAAGAGCCCCGGAAATGCTAAAAAGAGCCCCGTAAATTTGCATAGATTTCCATGCAAACCAAATTTTAGAGTGCTTATTTTCATGCACGCGAGCTTGAAAAGTAGCCCCCGAAAAATAGATAATAATTTTTTCCCTGAATCGTCTATTGTGTGTTTACAACAGCTCTCTCTCGGCTCTCTCTGCTGCTCATCTCTCTCTCTCTCATACTCTACATCTCTCTTCTCTCTGCTCATGGCTCTCTGCTCTCCTCTCTGCTCTCAACTCTCGCGCTCTCGCTTGCTCCGTCATCCCTGCTTCCCTCTCGCATCTGCGCTCTGCCGGCTCTCCACTCTCACTCTGCCTCTCCTCTGCTCTGCCGCTCTCCCTCTCCCTCTCCCTCCCTCCCTCTCCCTCTCCGTCTCCCTCTCCCTCTCCCTCTCGACCTCTCGCCTGCTCCTCTCTCTCTCTCTCTCTCTCTTTCTCTATCATATTTCATTTAAAAAAACCTCCACCCATTATATTCATTACATAACATTTATCTATCCAATCTCTATCTCTATTTCAACATAACGCAACACCATCCATCTAGTTCCCAGTAATTTAATCTTTTATAACGTATCATTTGCATTGTTACAAACATGTATATATATATATCAGGAGTTAATAATGACAAATTATTGACAATAATGACAATTTGTCATTATTAACTCCTGATATATATGTATTTGTATGAATTGTACTTGTATGGAATGTATGGATTTGTATACATGTACTTGAATAGTATGTACTTGTATCTATGTATTTGTATGGAATGTATTTGTATGCATGAGTGGAGGGGAAAAAAAACAAAAAAAGTGTTCACATGGAATTACAAGCGCGTGTGTCAAACTATGTAGATACTAATATTTCTGGTGATTGTTTGTCTGTTCGTCTATATAGACTCTTTAAGGTTCGGCCAACGAAGCCAGATACAGCCTTTGTTATGAAGTAAAATATATTACACAATGGGAATTTCTAGAAGATTCCTATACATTACATCAGGTTGTACGTTATACGTTATACGTTACATCATCATTTTGAAACACTCCTGATTACATCAACAGCTAATAATACCTCACAATAGAACCTTCTGGAAACTTGGAAATTCCATGTTTATGGTTAGCGAAAGTCTGCTGCCCGACGACAGGAAACTGCAGAGTAACGCACACAGCACCATGAAAGAGACCGCTCTCGACGTGCAGCTAGAGGAGCAGCTGAGATGGAGGAAGATCATCAAAGTCTAGCTCCAAGTTGCCGGCACCACCTGGTAACCAGGAGAGCAACTGAAGAAGCTCCAGAGCAACGTTTGCAACACCTTGAGAAGGACCGCACTCAGCATGCAGCAAGCGAGCTGCAGAGACAGAGGAACAACATACATGTGCTTTGACTACATAGAATCATGAATTTTTCAGCGTATTGTTTACCTCATATTTTGTTCCTCTGTTACGACTCCATCCTTGTAATTAATTGTGTATATATGTCAGGATTTTCTGTATGAGTTGTTTTACTAGTTTTTTTCTCCTCAGGCAATGTCAGGTACCCCAGCTAGTCAGAAATAAATGTGTAAGTTCCCTTGCCTGTCATTATGTGATACACACATGACCCTTATTGCTAAGAATACTTCCTCTTATATAAATGAATGTATGATATGGGTTTATGATTGGTTTCGTGGTACTGGAAGAGAGACCTTCTACAAGACGAGAGTTTGAGAATGTTCGTAAAACCATGTGCACGTCGGTACTGACTCCAATATTCCCTGCTGCCAATAAAAACAGTACTGGCACTGCTGCAGTGCTCATCTGGTCTGTAAGCATGCTGTATGACTAGGCAGCCGGGCCGGGTTGCATTACACACGTGTGTAGTCGTTCGTATGTACTTACTTGCACACGAACGAAGAATTGAGAGTCTTTTGTGTTGAGAGCAGCTATAGCTGAGAGCAGGTTTCACCTATCCCAGGGTGAACTCGAACTTCCACGAATGTTTCTGATGCTGGCACTTCTAGTTCATTGCCAGACTTGAAGAAAGCGTCAATCATTGCAGACTATTTTCACATTCTAGACGATTTCACGTTTGTAAAAAAGCAAGTAGGCAAATCTGATATCATTAATTATTCATATATACAAATCATGTTTATCTGCTACAATGTATGACGTTGTGAGGCATTTAGTAGCCAGTACCGGTACCTGAGTACTTTATATATATTTATGTGTTTTACCGATGTCTACTAAATTTTCATTTGATTATGTAGGGCTTGTTCCATGACTTCCATCTACAGGGATTGGTGCCATAAATCTGTTTTCAAAATGTAGTATTGATGCTAATGTTGTCTTATATTTTTTTCTTATACTGAATAGTTTGTGGATGAATAGCTACACTGTTCTTAACTCCATACATCAGAAAAGCGCTGGGTGAAACCGAACTGTAGAAGTGTAATGACATTCGAGGGCCATATGCTACCCCTCCCCAGTGAGAGTCTGCTGACATGTAGCTGCCGTCTTGTGTTCCAGTTTGCGACACGTGAGTAAAGGCTACTGGGTGATGTTGAAGGAATTTACACACAAGGAAGATTTGAGGATGATACTGAGTCTTCCTCACATAGCCACGGACATAGGGAGAGGTAAGATGGTGCGAAATGCTAGTCTGTGAACATGTCTTAGTGAGGCACGAAGGGTCGTTGTCGTATAATGCATGGCGTATAATATGTACCCGAAGTAACTATCTGATATGGTTAGGGTTAGGGTTAGGGAGTAGGCGTAGGCAACATACTCGCTGACACCTCGGGTACTACATATACGACAACGACCCCTTCAGCCTTAGTGAGCAAGCAAGCTAGGCCTCTACAAAATAAGTTATCATTTACACTTAAAGTTAGGTGGTAATTTGTATTATCACTTTGAACAATATTATGTGTATATCTAGTGAAGCTCTATTGTGTCTGTGAAATATTTAATTTTTAGCTCATCTGACATAGTCAGATGCAGCTTGTAGAATCGCATGAGCGTGCGTGCGTCCGTCCGTCCGTGCGTGCGTCCGTCAACAGTTGGGCACAAATCTAAACGGCTCGACGTACGGATTCGAAAGTCGGGACGTGGGGGGTGGGGGGGAATCCGAAAACGAGTTGGGATGTTGAAGCTGGGGGTCAAAGGTCAAAGGTCAAGAGGTGTAAAAGATGGGGGAACATTCCCTCCTTAACTTAAGGTATAGGGAGGAAATGCAGAATTGCGGCACAAATCTAAACGGCTCGACCTAGGCTCGTGATAGTTGGTGTACAGCATCATGGTAGGAAAAGCCATCACTGTGCCGAAATTGGAGGTCACAGGTCAAAGGTCAATGGGCACAGGGCAGATTTTAGACATTTTCTGAGGACATGGTCTGACGGAGCGATTGAAAAACTTTTTTGTTTCAGCGATGACCTAACATTGTTATGGCTCTATTGAAAGGACCATGAAATGTGCTTTCCACTGACGTGCGAAGAGTAAGTGTCAGATAACCTTTTGACCCTCAAGAGGCGGGTTAAACATGGATTTCTTTACTGTTAGAAAGTATTTCCTGGATGTATGAGGCTACAATGTCACAGTGAAATTTCAAAAGCTAAATTTGGTTGAAGAAGGTTTATGCTCCTTAAATCGTATAATTTCTATGGCATTCTGTACTTTCAGTGTGTTACATGTAACGTATGCCACTGCCAGTGGCCACCGCCAGTGCATGTGGTGGTGGTACTGTGTAGTTTTTGCCTGCGTTAATTAGGTACAGGTGGCAGCTCTCTATTTCAGCCTGTAGGCTTGCGTAGGTGAATGGATGAGTGCTTACCTATTCTGTCTTGTAAATAGTTGTTGCTACCACGTACGATGGGAGCTTCCATCTTTAATCTTAAGACACTTAAACGTACGCGCCATCTCGTGGCAACTTTCATAACGACCCCAACAAACATTTTTTTGAGAAGGTTCCTGATACCATCCCTGTGCCTTCCACTGTTTCGGTGTTTATGTGAACACATTTGGGACTAACAGGGTTTACTAGAATCCCACCACTCCACCACAGAGTCACCGCAGTAGACGTTAGATGAGCGCTGTCGCTCCGCGGCACTTGTTTTCAACACGTTTTACATGGATGATGGAGTCTTTGCCATACAGTTTTCTAGTCACTGCATCATAGCTCGTGTGATCATCACTGTAACCTCGTAATTAACCTCGTGAATAATAGTCTTCAAAGTCTGAGGGACTCACTATATCGAAGACGGAAATATACATTAAGTTGATCAAATAGACTGTGGCATAGAAATGGAAAACTAAGTGATGACATGTTTGCTTCATACTGAGATCATAGTTGCATGATTAAATGTTGGCAGAAAGGGAAAACTATGGGTGGATAAAAGAGAATAAGTGCACTGTATCAATGCAGTGGCATGAGCCGGCCTATATAGCTGTCTATAAATATATATACTTGCTCACCATCTCGCTGCTACCATGGTTTATTTCCTTTGAAAGCAACAGCAGTTTTGGACAAAAACAACGCGACTCTAAATTGGCTTGTTCAGTAACGAAGAAGGCAGGCAAGATGATAATATTTGATATAGCTTTCTCTCTCGGTCTAATCGCATCGAGGAAATCCTTAACCGATTTTGGTGTAGTGTGTCACCTAGCTGACCTGTCAAAGTCATGCCGGCTGGGGTTGTTTTTCACTGTGATGACTACAATTATAACGCGATGTGTACAGCCATTAGATGGTGACTAATTTTAAAGAGTTTTAACTAATTTTAAGGGATTTGGCTTACACTGTAAATATAAGTTATATAAATAGGGCAACCTATCGCAGTCATAACATAAGCATCATTTGCGAGTCCTCACTTAATTAGTAGTGGTTGGCATTCGTTCTCAGTCTATGCTTTGTCTGGTGGTCCTGGTTTACACATGCTATAAGTGCTTACACTGGTTACCCCCGCGCAACGGAGTTGCAGGGAGGTAATGTAATCGCTCTCGTGTGTGTGTTCGTGTGTGTGTTCGTGTGTGTGTTCGTGCGTGTGTGTAGCCAGCAGCGAGCCAGCTGTTATACACATGTATACATGTTACACGCGTTGGCGCGATCGATTCAGCACCAGCTCGCCTTAGGGCGTCCAGTCAGCAGCAGCTCGCCTTAGAACGTCCAGTCAGCAGCAGCCAGCAGCGAGCCAGCTGTTATACACATGTATACATGTTACACGCTCGCGGAGGTATGCACTCTCTTTGAGTGCCCTCTGTCTAGTTCAATGTGTGGTACTTTTCTGGTGTATTTTAGCTGATGGTCACTGTGTTTGTCACAATTGCTTTTATTTTGATTGAGGTATGAAGTTCTAGAACTAAACCGCATTACTCGGCTGCTCCATATATCCTGTTGTACCCAATCAGCAAAATCAGTAACATGTCAAGCAAATGAATGTGAATTATATGTTTAAATAATAAATGTTTAAACGAAGCACTGATATGTGTACTGTCAAACCTGTGTTGGTGGATACCTCTGTACAGAACAGACACCTGCATATAAGATAATAGAACTTACTGAGATTAGTGACTTCTATTCAGATTTGACTGTATATATGGTTTCACTGTCTGCATTGTCCACGTGGAAGTATGTCACAGGCATTCTGAGGTGGGTCTCTCTGTCTTTCGTTGCAGGTCGGGCGTGGATGTACGTCGTACTGAATGAGAACAACATGGAGAGCTACATCCGCTCATTCATGGACAACCGACACGTGCTGAGACGGCACTACGTCAAGCATGCTCTCTTGCTGGATGAGCAGCGCATGCAGGTGCTGCTCACACTCGTCGCTGGCCTCGAGTTCATCACCTTTTCTGTCGACCCGGTGAGCGAATGCATCGACTTCGGCTCGATCTTAGATGATAACATTATCCTGCGTATGTTCATGTGAGCATGATGGATACCTGTTTATAAAAGATACTTATGGCATTTTCCTTGAGAAGCAGTCATGTAGTGAGACCAACTGTATAGGACAGACACTTGTTTATAAAGGACTTTAGAGGTTTCCATTGAGTGACATTTATATGCACGTTTGATTTAAGGTGTTCTATGAGCCTGGTATATAAATACATATGCTGTTCATTTTACTGCGTTCCCTCTGTATGGGATTTCCTGCATCCAGCGTCACTGGCACAGGCTGCTGCACTATGTTCCCCAATAAAATTTACCTGATTTCCCCAAAGGTGTAGCAATGTTTGCAACTGTTAAATAATATATTGTTAAATACTTAACTTATAAGTTCTCCCCTCCAAGGTTGTATACATTCCACAAGAGAATGACCAACTTTTGTGCACCCTAATGACGCACGTTCAGTGAATTGGTACAACCTTGATGACCGTCAACATCCCCCCTTTTACATTGCGCATGTGCAGGGGGATTTGAGCTTCTTTGCACATGCACAATGTAAAAGAGGGGACGTTTACGATGTGGGCGTGTATCATGCTATAGCGGTGCTTTGTTTCTGCGGCAGGACGTGCCGTACTTGGACCTGCAGGCGTCGTGCTTCATCAGCGTGCCGCGCAGCAAGCGCTCGGAGAGCTGCGTCAGCTGTGACGTCGAGGATGCCGTCTCCATCTGCAGCATGGAGAGCGAAGTGTCACAGGTAGGCATGCACCGCCGGCCAGGTGGGATGTGCGACGAGGGCACCAGGTGGCAGGAGTGGTGTGCGACGAGGGCACCAGGTGGCAGGGGTGGTGTGCGACGAGGGCACCAGGTGGCAGGGGTGGTGTGCGACGAGGGCACCAGGTGGCAGGGGTGGTGTGCGACGAGGACACTAGGTGGCAGGGGTGGTGTGCGACGAGGGCACCAGGTGGCAGGGGTGGTGTGTGGTGAGGACACTAGGTGGCAGGGGTGATGTGCGGCGAGGGCACCAGGTGGCAGGGGGTGGTGTTTGGTAGTGAGGAAAGTAGTGCTGGTATCCATGCAAACTGACTTACATCATTGGAGTTTTCACTGATGTGCCAGTAGGTTGTCAGGTTTTGGCTGATGTGTGACGAGTAAATTAGATCAAGCATGTAGTTTGGAGTGAAACCAACTCGTCCAGTTGTAGTTTGCATTGCCATGCACCAGATGGCAGGACCGATGTTTCATGAGAATAAGAAGGCATGAAGTCCCTAAATGAAACCAGCTAATCAACTTTCAGTTCGCAATGTTTCTTGCCAAGTGACAGGTGCTGATATGAAATATAAGTGATGTCTAACATGCTATAAAACATGCCTGTTAGGGTGATATGAGCGATTTATTTTAGTTATAACGTGTATTAACTATGGTGAGTTGATTTCTTGAATTATCAGTGCATTATTTGTAGGTTCAATCCTAGTACAGTAATACGCCACGAAAACTTAGTTTACGGAAATTCGCCCGTAGAGAATTTGTAAATTAAAAAATTTAAATTATTAAAAATTGAATTAATAAGTACATAAAAAAAATTTCATAGGAATGCGGCTCCAATAATATAATGGAAGGCATCACGAAAACTGTTTCACGATACAAAATTTTACACTACGAACGTTTTATGTGGAACACCTGTAACATGACTATATTACTACACAATGTGCATGCTATGATTTCCAACTGGGGACAAGTGATCATTGGTTCTACCCTGGACTGTGAGATACTCGTCGGCAAAGTATTTTATTAACAATGTTAGTGTTCACTAAAACATTAATTAGCATAAATGACCTCGTACATCGTCCTCGTAACCTAGCATATTCGATTTACTTCTGTCTGGGGAGGGGGCGTCAGCCCTCCAGGACGTATAGGGTGTGTGGCACTGTGTTTCTGAAACCAGGCCGGACTCCAGCCGATCTCTGCGAGAAGCTGATTAATTATCTAATTTCTAAAAATGCACGAGCATGTGCAGTGTGCGTGCGTGTCTGTTTGCGTGCGTGCGTGCGTGCATGCGTGTGTGTGCGCGCAGTTAGTGCTGGGCCCATACGTTCTTAAGCAGTGCAATGTCTTCTTCTAGCCCATTGATTTTCCTCTAACGCGTGGGGTGGGGGTGTGTGTGCGTGGTAGGTTCACTGTCTCCTGTCTTGCGTTGCTGCTGTGTGAGTGTATCTGCCGCTGCCGTTCATTCGTGGGGGGGGGGAGACTGCGAAAAATCGATTGTGAGACTGCGTGGATTTTCAGCAACGATGAAAGCCGTCTATAGTAGCCGTGGCTGTATTTTAGCGGATATATATTCTCAGCAGTGCATAACAGCAAGCGATGATGCCGCCGCAGGGGAATAGTTTAGTGCGGGCGCGTTTTCTGCTGGCTGTGTGCTTAGGTGCAGACGAAGGACTGATGATTTTCGGACGTAGAGCTTGTGTTTTGAGGTTAGTAAACTTGATCTTTGTGTGAATTGAAAGTCTACCGAGCAGTGTACCTACCCGGAGTATTCATTATAATAGGAAACACTGCGTATATTATCTGCACATCAGTAGTAGGTTTGTAGCAAGCTGGGTTTGTAGCAGGGTAATTAACTTTCTTCAGAATCTGCGCGATATAGCTATAATATGGTTGCAGGAAATTGATGCTGCATGGGCGTTTCTCTTTAAAAGATGTCTGAAAATGTATGGATTTTAATTTAGCAGCAGCACGCTGCGTGTTGGTGTGCAGTTTTTGTGAACAAGCACACCCACGCACACACGCGCGGCGAGGGCTCGGGTTGCTCGTGATACTCGTGATACTCGTGATATTCCTTTGCAAGATCTTACACAAAAACACGAGCACATACGTACATGCACGTGTGCGTGCATAAATGCACCCACGTACGTAGGCGCACGCATGCACAGACGCACATACGCACGTCACACAGAATACACAATGAGCGTTACAAAAGGATACATGTATGTTAAAGAAAAGTTTAAATATGAGTGAGGCAAGGGCGTGTGTGGCTTGAAGGTAAGATACATTCAGCTGTTGTGTGTGAATACGCCAGGCTCTGGGGCCGACGTACCGAGGTGTATGGAGAGGATACGTGTGTGTTAGTGAGGTGGGCGTGTGTGTGTGCGATCAGCTGTTGTTAGTGAATACGCCAGGCTCTGGGGCCGACGTACCGAGGTGTATGGAGAGGATACGTGTATGTTAGTGAGGTGGGCGTGTGTGCGTGCGATCAGCTGTTGTTAGTGAATACGCCAGGCTCCGGGGGCGACGTACCGAGGTGTATGGAGAGGATACGTGTATGTTAGTGAGGTGGGCGTGTGTGCGTGCGATCAGCTGTTGTTAGAGAATACGCCAGGCTC